CAAAAAACCCTCAAAAAAAAAAAAAAAGGGTCAGTGGCCTCACCAAGGACAGAACTGAACATGTCACCAGGGTGGGAGACGCAGTGCAGGCGGACACGAGCCTGCTCAGGGGGACTGAGGAGTGAACAGGAGGGGCAGCGTAGGCAGACTGGGGTGCCCGGCCTGCAGGGAGAGTGGACTGAGATGCACTCTACTTACAAAGGGGGGGATCTCAGCCCCTTTCTGTGCTAAAAGGACAGACCCATGAGTAAGGGCAAAGAGACGATCCAGGAGACAGGGGAGATGCTGGAACCGCCCCTCAGAGAGCAGGAGCAGGGAGTGGGACTCAGGACCCAAGTGGAGGGACAGCTAAGGGCAAAAGGAATAGTGTGCAGGGGCCCACACAGGCGCTAGGCAGCAGGTGGGACCCGGGGCCTGCCCCAAGCCCCTCTGTACCCCGGAAACTCCTGACACACAGGAGGTCCTCAACGCTTAGCTGGTAACACAGAACAGTGAGACGCCTCTGGACACAGATTTGCGTATTTCAAACTGTCCTCGGGCATTATGGCAAACAGGAGGACCTAGGCAAATACGACAAGAGTGAGAAACAGAGGCGACTTCTCCACAGGTGCAAGGGATTTAACTGTCACTGTGCCGGCCCTGCTATTACACACGGCACTCTACGCCATTTCCCTGTAGGTGCCCGTCTTGCCTCATGTCCCCTTCGGGGATACACGCAAGACCTCTGGTTCCGAATGTCAAACCATCCTGCCAGTGGACGGGGAGGTGATCATCCCCTTCCTGGGACACTGGGAAGGTGCAAGTGACGTGGGCGACTGTACGACACCAGTGTCTGTATACCCTGGAGGTGTGCGGAGGGCACTGCGTGTAGTTCTCCGATTCCGCATCCCACGATGAGGCTGTGTGCTACTCCCATTACGTCTACCTTATGCCTACAGAAACGGAGCCTCAGAGGGAGGAGGCGGGGGCCGAGCTGCACTGAGTGTCCTCCCTGGGCCTTGCATGCTGCTCAGGGTTCAATGTCACCGTCTTTAACCCTCATGACAACTCTAGGAAGTGCCACATCTCAGATGGACCGGCCACTGACATGGTCCCAGACCGACTTGCTGGGTGGCAGGGCTCGAGGTCCCAGAGCCCAGCCTTGAGTCCTTTGGTGGCTCTCAGATCCCCCCCAGCCCCACGCCAATGGTTGTACACCTTCCCCAGCCCTCCCCGACTGCAGCCTCCCGCGTGCCCTCTCTCCCTCTCTCCCTCCCCCGTGGGGAAGGGCCCCTTACCGGTAATGGTGCAGGCATCCCGGTACCCTCTGCAGCTGGGATCATCTTCCACAGCCTCGCTTACGTAGTGCTCCTCAGGGATGCCCGGGCTGCAGGCTAGGACTGCATGGTTGCACGCCTCCGAAGGGGGCACGGGGCTGGCCGAAGTGTCGTCGTGCGGAGCTGTGGCGTCCAGCTTGGCAGGTTTCAAAGGGAGGTGCCCTTTGCCATCGGGGGCCCCGCTGCTGGAGTCTGGGGCAGTCGGGCAGACAGCCCCCGGGAGGTCTGGTGTACCAGCAGGGGCTGCTCACAGGGAATCTATGGGACGATGGAGAGAGAAGGACACATGGTCAGTCTATGAATAAACCTGGAAAAGATCCGAGAAAAGAGGGGCCCCGAGAGGATGTGGGTTCAGAGTGCAAATTCTGAAGAGAATTTCCTTCACATGGGACCAGCAGTTAGCGTAATGGCTATGTCGCTGGACTCCCACGTAGTCGACCACTGTTCGCATCCCAGACCTGGTGGCTTAAAACTCACACCATGCACATGTGCGTGCGTGCCCAAGATCCCGAGAGGAGAATGGAGGAGAAGGGATTGCGGCATGGCCATCCACCCTGGGGGGTGATTTCTCGCTTTCTGTCTCTCTGTCTCTCTCTGTCTGGCGAGCGCATGAGCCCTATAACAAAAACGTCTTAAAAAAAAAAAAAGAATTTCCTTCACATAAAGGCAAGTCCAATCACACTCCTTGGCTTCTATAGAAGAATTACAGTGAAGTCAGATCAGAATGGCAGGGATCAGGGCCAGCCCTGTATGACGCAGTGGTTAAGGGAGCCAGATTCCACGTGACTGACCAAGTTCAACTGTGGCCCTGGGGGCTTGAAAAACATGCTGGGCACGTGTGTGTGTGTGTGTGTGTGTGTGTGTGTGTGTGTGTATGTCCCAGACCCCAACCAGATGGAGAAATGAGAAGGGACTGCAGTGTGACCATGTCTCATTGGAGGTGCTCTCTCCTCCCTATCTCTGTCTAGCTCTGGTAAACACACATTCCCTCTAGTAATAATTTTTAAAAAAAAAATGGTGACCAGATATCAATACAGGTCAAAATTGGCACACCTGGCTTCATTCACTGACAGAAAGCTATTCTGACATAGCTCTAAGCCCATAAATGAACTGGATCGCAGCTAAAAAGAATGAAGATACCTGAGTAAGAAGGCCAGAAGAGCTGGCCACCAAGTCCCATGTGAGGACAGTTGTGAGTGGGACGACTATGGAAGGCGCACAGGCCGAGGTATGTTTACGAGATACACATGCAGATACACGGTGAGATAACAATTTAGTTTGTGGACTGAATTACGTAGAACATAGTGTGTCTATTAAAGTTATCGGACCACAAAACATTCTCCATTCTCTAAACACTTTAAGGGATGTCCCTACCTTAAGCTACTGTGACAAACTCGGGGACTCCTTTAAGCATCTGATTAAAAACTACACACCTTATTTCCAAAACTATATGAAGTTTTAGGAAATTCAGCCTACTCGGAGCCTCAGGGGAGCTGAGGATAGTGGGGTAAGATCCGCAGAACTAGCAGGGAAATCTCTCCTGAGGGCCTACTGCAGCAACATCAGCCTAATCAAACAATTCATATCCCCATGTATAAACTGATCGAGGTCCAGCAGACGGCATGGTGGCTAAGGGCGCTGGTCTCCCACATGACTAACTGCGGCTCAAGTTCCAGACCTGGTGGTTTGCTTTTTCTCTTCCTCTCTCTCTCTCTCCCCTCTCTCTCTGTCCCTCTCTGATCAAATCTGAATGAATAAACGAATAAATAAAGTTAAATAAAATAATTATTTTTTTAAAAAATCTGATCAGAAGTAGGCCATAGCTAGGGCAAGCAGGTTGGCATGGTGGTTAAGGTGCTGGACTCCCACATGGCTGACCAGGTTCAAGTCCTGGATCTGACAGCTTGCTTTCTTACTTCTTCCCACCCTCTCTCTGGTGAGCATGTGTACTCTGTGGTAAATTAAAGAAATAACAATGAATAAAGTTTAGTTAAATAAATAATTCTTTTGGAAAAAAAGAGAAGAAGAAAGAATAGGCCGTAGCCTAGTGCTTAAAGGAGCCAGATCTCCCATAGCCAAACACAGTTTGAATCCCAACCCTAATGGCCTGAAAAACACGCCTCACCCATGTGCGTGCATGTCCCAAATCCCAGCAAGATGGAGAAACTGCAGAGAAGGGAGTGTGGCATAACCATTCCTGTTGAAGGTGCTCCCTTGCCCCACAACTGACATCTCTCTCCAATGAGCATACATGCCCTTTGAAAATTAAAAAATAAATAATAATTTAAAACACAAAGTTTGACCAGGACTAAAGAGAGCGGCTGCAAAAGCATGGTACAAACACAGGCTAGTGAGGACTCCTCCTTCCCAAAGACTTCAAGCCTGCATGTGGGCAGATGTCGCACATTTCGGGAGAGCGTGGCGGCCTTAGAAGTGGACCTTAATTCAAAAATGGCCCCTCTCCTCCCAGCCATCTTCATAAACACGCAGGGGTGCCTGTGTACTCACAACCAGCAACGATGGCAAATTGGAGCTTCACACACAAGTCAAGAAGTCTACAAAATGCCCTTTAGCACAGGAGATCGTGAAGTGTGGCCCGAGAACCCCTGGGGTTCCCTCAGAACAGTTCAAAGGGCCCACGGTCTGGAGGGTGCTTTCTCCCTCCTCTGGTTCTCTCTGGCAAGAGCAATACAACCTCTTAGAATGAAAATTCTTTTTCAGGAATCGGTGTGTCATCCTTGTACAGGTGCCAGGCTAATCTCTGCAGCATTCCAATTCTAATAGATGTGCTGCCGAAGCAAGCACAAAACTTTTTTAATGGACCAATAAAAACAAAAATAAGAATATCCTGGTGAAAAGGACGAGGTTCACAGAAGAATTTCTAAGAACCCCTTCAAGACATGTATTAGATTGTCGGGAAAGTCCTGGCTTATTTTTCTATGCAAAAATGACTTTTCCGACGACCCAATGGATGAAACCACACTGTCACATCTACTCAAGGATCCAATTAAGACAAATGGATAAGAAAAGCCTGGAACTGCTGAGCAGAACCCAAAAACAGCCTGGACAGCTGAGGTTGGAAGGGGACTAGGTAGAAGACCTCCAAAAGTCATTAGTGGTGGTCAAGGAGCCAGGAGTGGAACTGTCACTACCTACTTAATTCTCACGGAGCACAGTGGCTTTTCCAGCGTTAGAGTCTGATTCTTGGTCAAGCTCATCTCTTCCGATCTATACACTTTCTTAATGTATTTTTCAATAAAGTGGAAAAAATACTAGTGAAGGCAGATACTCAATCTGTAAACCAGTATGATAAATCATCCTTAAACTAAGAAGATATGAAGGCACAATGGTAAGAGTTCCAGAAAACTGACAGGAACAAAGTATACAAAAAGCATACTCATTTTTAATTTTTTAATTTTTAATTAATTTTCTAGAGCTGAAGATTTTGCACCTTTAACTCAAAAGGTTCTACACCAAGACCCAGAGAGAATTAATGAAAAGAAATAGACTTCCAGATACAATCTGGTAAAGATTTCAAGTTCCAAAGCTATAAATAAAAGTCTAGCAAAGATGAAGATATGGGTATTAAAGGGCCATTTGTCATGCGAGTGACCCGTAGAGCAAGTTTCTCTGAAATCTAAGAGAAGATAGTCATGCAAGAATCCTATAGACGATTAAGCAATTGATGTACATAAAGACAACAGACACCTTCAGATATCTGGAAACTTAAAGACCTTGATATTCCTGAGGAGCTGCAAGTGTGCTGACCACATCTCATGGACTCTCACTGACAAACAGATCAGCATGAAGAACTCAGTGGTGGACCAGCCCCATAGCCCAGTGGTTAGGAAAGCCAGATCCCACATGGCCAACGACAGGCTGAGTTCCAGCCCTGGCAGCTATGGGATATGCCAACAGTGTGTGTGTGTGTGTGTGTGTGTGTGTGTGTGTGTGTGTGCCTGCACACACAAAATCCAGATAGTGGGGAGTTGGAGAAGGAACTGTGGCATGACCATGACCCATTGGGGGACACTCTCCTCTCTCTGGCAAGCATATGTGCCCTTTGGCAATTAAAAAAGAAACAGACATACATAAAAGAACTCAAAGGTAAAGAAGATGTAGGAGTGAAATGAAATCAGGAACACTTAAAAGTAAGGTCTAAATAATGTGCATAATTTGCAAACCTAAGGCAAATGGTCCAAGAGCAAAATGAGCCAAGAATATAAAAATTCCCTATACTACCAACACACACATGTATGCATGAGATAAACATTTTAAGGAACTTTAATATTTTTTAAAAGAGGTTTTTGCCTTAGGGCACATGAAAGAGAGCAACAGAGACGCACATAGTGCTGGGAAAAAGAAAAATCACCCTCCAGGGGGAATGGCCATGCCACAATCCTTTCTCCTCCATTTTCCTCCTGGGATCTTGGGCATGCACATACATGTGCCCAGTGTGATTTTCAAGTCACCAGGCCTGGGACCTGAACCACAGTTTCTGGGAGTCCATCCACATAACCCCTATGCCATC